TTCATCAAGCCATCAAGGGTTTGCCGGAGCAGGTCGAAATGACAAGCGTCTTCATTGTATTGTGGACGCAGTTCTTTCTCAGGCAAGTTCGGAGTTCCTATCGCCTGGACCCCACCACCAGGAGGTTGGGGAGGAGGTGCTGTCGGACCAGATTTCGATGTGCCAGGGGCAGCTCATTGGCATGTGTTTGGAGGAGATCAGATTGATGGGCACATGATCAGGGATTATGCCATTTGGTACAAACAGAATGCCTCGCTGCACCACCTCACAATCATTGTCAATGAAGCGGCTGAGCTGACGCCTGAACGTATTGCCCTTATCTGCATGATCATGCTGGGTCTCCCGTTCGGCAACGCTGCTGTTGGCTACGCAGCCAACACTGCCTTGCCAGGAGGTCTCAACATCCAGAATGCTAGAGGAGGATTCAAGTTCTGGGCCTCGAACTTCAACATGCTTGGGTTCACAGACGTGGTGATAGTGATCAAAGGTGGATTGTCGCAGGATGAACTGGACAATTTGGCAATACCTGGCCAGGCAGGCTTAGGATTTCCATGGCCTCCAGCGGCGCCTGTGAATCCTCCGTCTGCTTTGGACATCTTGGCGATGATCGATGAGATGGCAGGACATTTCGGCACGGAGAAACAGTCTGTTATCGGCTTAGATGACCTTACCGGTTGTGTCACCATGATATGCCTACGATATCAAGAGCCGATGCCACTGAGCGAATGCTGGTGATCTGTTATCTTGGGAACAGTACTATTATTGTTCTGGGGTTTGTGATTGGGTTGGAAAGGGGTTGCTGAGTGGTGTTGGTGAGCGCGGCCAAATGTGGCTGTTGCTAGTGTTTGGAAGTCAGACCTACCAACCGATGCCTTGCCGGCCTTGAGCGAGTGTGAAAGTCGAAACCCTAAACCCCAAACCCTAAACCCCAAATCTTATAAACCCTAAGCCTGGAGGCCGGTGACGGCATCTTCAAGGGCAGTGGCGGCAGCCTGGATAGCAACTTCGGTCTCCTGCGCCCCGGCCGCCAGGGGGTTCGTTGGGACGAGGCTCAGGTTGTTTGAGTCCCTAGCCAAAACCCGAAGCCCTAAAACCTAGACATCCCCCCCAAGAACCAGAAGCTTCCCTGAGCCCTAAACCTACCTACCCTGACCCTAAACCTAAACATCCCTAAGTCCTTAACCCCATAAGCCCCAAAGCGACAGAGTTCTTAGGTGACACTCTGGCACCAGACAAGCCCGATAAGAAGTCGCCTTCTGCAGATGAGGGCCTAAACCTGTCATGAACCTAAACCCTATAAACCGCCTCGGCTTTGTATAAAAAGGCACTGAAACTGTGCGGCTTCTTGTCTCGATGTCCCTCGGTTTCCCGTGCTCCTGGCAAAGGTGCACGGATGTCTGCGATGTGATTACGACGCATGAGGCCAGGGGCATGGCCGAAGAAGACATTCTTCTTTAAGCAGATGGGTGTATATGTCTGCTTATTTTCATAAATATGAATATGGGTGAGCATATATATACACATACATATACATATATATAAATATGTATATATGTATACATATGTATATATATAAATATTATACTATGATTACATATGGGATCTTTTTTTGCGGCTACTGAAGCCCTACCCGAAATCCCAAAGTGCCGGTCTCCCAGAAAAAGCCACTTCAGCCGGCAGGGGCTGGTTCTAGGGTAGCCCTTTTGCAACGGGCCTTCAGCGACTTCCTAACTACCCTGAAGCCCAAAAACCCTATGTCTCCTGAGTTTAATCCTCAACCCTTTTTCGAGGGATGGAGCCTCGTGGCCTGCAACACTGGCAACTACGGTGCCGACGGCCGCTTTAGCGAGCAGTGCCCCTGCTCAAAATGCGGGTCGTCCAGGGATTGCAGGGCAAGTTGTTATCAGAGTTGCTATAACAATAGGTGTTTTTTTCGTAGTCATCATTCCCAGTGCATTTTTATTGCTGTCTTTTTCTCAGGGTACTTGGGGAAGCTCGAGCTGGCAACAGTTTTCGGTTCAAAAGGGGCTCCTGAAGAGGGTTTAGGGTTTCGGGCCCAATGACTTGTAGAGTGCGACCTGCTGCCGCATCTGCTTCGCAAGGTCTTAGTCACAACTAACGCGAAGTTAACACCCAGGCCGTAAGCTGCCCCAAGCTAAACCGCAAACTCCTGAATCCTAAAATCCGCCCGCAGCCGTCTTGGGAAGCATCTGGGCAAGCAAAGGCAGATGATCTTTAGGCGGGACTACCACCCCCTGGGTGACTCGAAGCTCAGCACAATCAGGTTTTAGGGCTGAGGCCTTCGCAGGGCTTCGCAGGCTTTGGTTTCCATGGGGTCGTGGGTGAAACCTCTAAGCACTAGTAACCCTAAACCACCCTAATCCCTAAACCCTAACCCTAAACCCTAAACCCTACACCCCAAGTCGCTCTCTCTCTCTCTCTCCCTCCCTCCCTCCTACGTGCATTGGCACCCTGTAAGGCCCCCCCATAAGCTGTGCAAGCCCTCCTTCTCACTGACCATCGGCCCCCGCCCTCCTGAAAAAACTTCCTGGCTGAGGAGGGCTTCAGGGGGCTTAAAGGGAACCTGGGCTCAGGTAGAGGTTAGGGTGTGCGGAATTCAGGGCTGTGGGCCTAGGGTTTTGTGGCTAGCCGCAACAATACAGATGCAACAAAGCGTCTAGAGGATGGGACCAAGACGCCTTTCTGTAGGCTTTTCGGGTATAGGGTTGGGGGTTCAGGGTCATTTGGTTGAGGGTCTAGGGCGCATGGCACCCTATGCTTTCCTAAGGGGTTTGGTTCGCATTTACGGGTTTAGCGTTTTTTTTTTTGTTTTTTTTTTTTTGGGGGGGGGGGGGGTTTAGCGCCGGTCCCTCAACCGAAAGCTGCAGGAAGTACCTCCAAGTCATCCTCAACGCGCTTGGCAACATCGAAGTGAACGGCCAGCATGCCCCGCGCCAGCAGCGTCGGTTGGTACCGGAGTTGTAGGTTTGCCCCTCCTCCCCCCCCCCCCCGCCGCCCCCGGGAAGATTGTTCACTACTTTGGGCTGGGGGTACCCTTCTGATGACATTGAGACCAAAAAAACTCCTAAACCCCCAAAACCCTAAGCCCCATCTACCAAAGCCCTCCGGGGAATGTGCAGAAGCACCCAACCCAAGAAGTGGCAATAAGAAGCCCTCATAACCCAGATACTGCTCCCGAAGCCCTCAAGCCCTAAACCTCAGCAAGCACCTTAAGATCCCAACGAAGAACCGTGCCTCGTCAGGTGCGGGAGATCCACTCGAAATTGGATAACTTCTTCCGCTCGAGGTGGGGTTGCGACACCCGGCAACCGATTGCCAGCAGCCGGAGCTGCCTTATGAGGGCTTGCGGCACCCTTTAATTGCGCGAAAAGGGTTTCCTCATTCAATCCTGAAGTTTCAATCCAAGCCTTCGTCTTGCGAATTGCTGCAGCTTGAGGAGACAGTGGGGGAGTGGTTGTCGGTTCTATCAGTTCTACACCATAGGGGTACTTCTGGGGATTCGGGCATCATCCACTCCTCCACTCCTCCTCAACTCACCAATGACCTGAAACCCAAAAACCCTTCGACAAATCACGAACCAGCTGAAGAGACGCCATTCCGTCTGAACTGGGTCTTGCACAAACGCGGCCCAGGAAAGGGCTGGGCATTTCCGCGAGGGCGACACCTTGTGCCGCAGGTGCCAGGGACACCTCAAGTACTCCAAACCTGGGCAGCTGAAACTTCAAACTGAACTCCGCCATTTCCGAATTCATATCGGTAGCTTTCATAGACCCCTTCAGAACATCTACACCGAAAACAAGAACCTGATTTCCTACTACTACTAGTAGTAGTAGTAGTAGTAGTAGTAGTAGTAGTAGTAGTAGTAGTAGTAGTAGTAGTAGTAGTAGTAGTAGTAGTAGTAGTAGTAGTAGTAGTAGTAGTAGTAGTAGTAGTAGTAGTAGTAGTAGTAGTAGTAGTAGTAGTAGTAGTAGTAGTAGTAGTAGTAGTAGTAGTAGTAGTAGTAGTAGTAGTAGTAGTAGTAGTAGTAGTAGTAGTAGTAGTAGTAGTAGTAGTAGTAGTAGTAGTAGTAGTAGTAGTAGTAGTAGTAGTAGTAGTAGTAGTAGTAGTAGTAGTAGTAGTAGTAGTAGTAGTAGTAGTAGTAGTAGTAGTAGTAGTAGTAGTAGTAGTAGTAGTAGTAGTAGTAGTAGTAGTAGTAGTAGTAGTAGTAGTAGTAGTAGTAGTAGTAGTAGTAGTAGTAGTAGTAGTAGTAGTAGTAGTAGTAGTAGTAGTAGTAGTAGTAGTAGTAGTAGTAGTAGTAGTAGTAGTAGTAGTAGTAGTAGTAGTAGTAGTAGTAGTAGTAGTAGTAGTAGTAGTACTACTACTACTACGACGACGACGACGAGTACTACTACGAGTAGATCGTACTATATTGAGAATAATGCGAGAAATAGTGTGGTGATATTATTTCGCCTAACCTGTACCCCTTGGGTGGATGGGCGGATGGCCCTGCGAGGTACACCTGGGACGTTTCCGAGCTGAACATGCTCCGGGCCACGGCCGACGTCGTGACCTTCTTCGAGCTGCAGGGATGGGAACCTTGCATCTCACAGGGTTTAGGGTTTAGGGTTTAGGGTTTAGGGTTTAGGGTTTAGGGTTTAGGGTTTAGGGTTTAGGGTGCCTTTTCGGGAATAGCGGCGGACTTCCGGGTTTTAGGGCCTTTTTGCTGGTAAGGCGTCTAGGCTTCCGGTTCAAACAGTGCGAGCTTGCCGCTTTGTGAGGCAGAAACTCCGCGCCTGGGAATTGGGGAGGGTGGGATGAGGCTTGGAGCTTGCGCAGTCCCTCCTGATTAGCCAGGTTTGAGTTCGGGTTAGGCTTGGATTTTCGGATTTTCCGGTGGAGGAGTTCGGCTTGTGGTGTACACGCACACCATCGCACACCTGTTGGTGCAAGTTTGGCCCAGAGAACGCTGGTCAGAGCTATCCTCGACTACGTAGCGCGCCATGAGCCAGTTGAGAACTGCCGTGGCGGTCGTGGCAGCGTGCTGCCTGGCCAGTATCGCCTTCGAGGCCAGATGGGGGCCAAAGACGTCATGACAGTTGCTTCACCCCTAGCAAGTTGCAACCTTAACAGGCTTCAAGGCATACTTTGTTGGAGCGCAGAGTCTCCTGGATCTGGCAATCTCTTAGAGTCCCCATACTCCCTCCCTGTTACCGGTACCCCACCTTAAGGCCCCTGTATACTTTTGACTCTCTGCATGCTACGTGTTGTAGTGAGGTACCAGGAACCTGGGTCTATGGGCACCCTAAGAAGCTCTCATGACAGGCCTAGTGTCCCCAAAGCCAGGGGCATCCCACATCTCTCCCGAATTCCGAATCCCTAAAGTTGTTAAAGCCTGAACCTTGCAGCTCAACAAAAAGCCAAGTTTCAGAAACTTGCTTCCCAAGCACCTCGCCCAACACACCCTGAAATCTAAGCTTTCCTTATCCTAGGCCCCGAAACCCTACAGCAACTTTTTGAGCGCTTCTTGATTCCTTGACCCTTGATCCCTGAGCTTCCTACCATCGAGGCCTTCGTGTCGCCCACGGCGCGGGGGGCGCCGCTCGCGGCACCCAAGGCAGCGGCGGCCACGGCGCCGCCGATGGAGGCGGCTGGCTGCTTGGGCGTCAAGAAACACGCAGGAAAGAGCTGGGAAAGGAAGGGAAAGAGAGGAGAGAGAGAAAGAGACAGGGAGAGGACAAGGAAGATAGGCCACCCTTCCTCTCCCCAACGAAGAGGAAAGACAAGTGAGAGGGAGAGGCAGCGGGAGAGTGAGACGGAGGGAGTTTCCCCAATTTCCAAACCCACAAAATTCAGAGCCCCTAAAGGCCCTAAACCCTATCAACCCCAGACCCTATAGACCAAAAAAAACCCCACAGAGTGAACAGTTTCCCTCCAGAACCCAGGCTGGGGATTGGCGGTGGCAGGCCTGGCTGTGGCTCGGCTGTTCTCCACCACCCCGCCTCCTTCGAAAAGGGTATTTGTCAAGTGAACTATCCTAAACCCGAACCAAAAAAGGCGCAAAGCGCCCAAACGGGTGTTTACGAAAATGGGGGGCCCCTAAAATAGACCCCCGCATAGTAGGATCCCCTTACAATAAGGACCCCAATCAGGTACCCCGAATTTCGGAACCCCCCCAAAGAAGCACACAAAAGCAGTGAGGTGGGAGCCCATGCCGGTCTCGCGGCGGCCTTTCGCACTCGC